AGGCAACAGCATGTTGGGAACTCTATTTTTTGTTCAATGCTTTATAAACCTATAAACTGCTTTATAATAAAGTCTATTAATTTTCTTTTAAAGCTACAAACAACAATATGCAGTAGCAATCTGCTTCAATAACCTGTACATTGGGAGCAAGTGCGTCACCTACGGAGCCTAGAGGAGTGGGTTTTTCTTCTGTTTTTGAGATAGGTTCTCACCCTGGATGCCTCAAGCTCCTGAGCTGATTGTGAGTGCTAGAAGCGCAGGTATGTGTGCCACTGTGTATTTCCTTTCTTTGGAGAGGGGGCTGTGGGCACAGACACACAGACACACAGACAGACACACGTGGCTCCCTACAGTACACTGGTGGAACCTTTCTAGAACTGTGAGGAAGTTTATTGCTAAGAGTCAGGGCATAGGCCCAGTGCAGGGCTTCGCATTCAGAGCAGTGACCAAGCGTCTATTTTTGATACATTAGCATTCACTGCCACCAAGCCGCACATGGTAAATGTTGGCAGCAGGTTCGCCCTGGCTGCTAAGAGACTGACTGTACGGGTTCTCTGCTGCTTGCATGAGTGCCTGGGCTATTTTTAGGCCACAGCTAATCCATTCAATGAATACCGCTGCCACGGATGACTCACCGTCCACAGCAGTCAAACTGAAAAATAGTGGAATGAAAGAAAAGCCACCGGCAGACGAGCAAGAAGCACATTATTCTAACACGCCAAGGGAACAGGCGCATGCACCCACCCCAGGACAGTCGGGAGAGGGAAACGGCACCGACTACCCAGCCAAGTCAGGAAGGGAGCAAGCAGTCATCTCCAGGATCTGGGAGGCCGCCCTCATAACATGTGGAGCCCGGCATTTAGGAATGCAGCAGCCAAAGGGAAGTGTCGGCCCAGAGCCCTCTACAAATAAATTTTACTACAACTCTACTGAGCATGTTCTGGGTACTTTTCAGGAAAGATGAAGCTGAGGAGCGTGAGAGAGATGAGGCTGCTCCCACATCCGACAGGTCTGGTCTGCCAGATGGGAACCAAGGACTCCCTCCCCAGGTGGGGCCGGCCAGGCAGCGCCCTCCTAGGGGGTGTCTTGCAAGCAATCTCTGCAGAAGGGGCTCCTGAGCCCCCATTTCTGCACCAATGCTCTTACTGATGCAGAGGGCTGGGCTGCTGATCCATCCCTCCCATCTAACTCTGCTCAGAAAAACCGACTGCATCTGCTCACGTAGCCTGGCACATGCCCGCCTTGGCCTTCCCCTGAGAAATGGGCTGAATGGAGCTCCTCAGTCACACGGAAGAGCAGGCCACAAGAACACAGGTAGGGTGCACACAGCTTCTCTATTGGCTGGGACAGTTCAGCCTTCTTAGGAGACTGTCATAGACTGTCTCTCCTTCTGTAAACTCTGAACGCATAAGTGCTTGTGTTTGTCAGATGCAAGACTGTCTCCTCTCAGGGCCAATGTCGGCCAAGCTGAAGCAGGGAGAGGGAACTACACAGCACTAGGGCCTGGTGCTACCGGTGGTGGAGGACAGGGCCAGAATTAGATCACTTTGGCTCCAGGTCCTGCATTTTCCCCACAGCTACCTAAAGGCTTGGTGTGAAGGCCCTTCTTCTGCATGGCTGGGCCCAATGTTGATGCCGCTGCCCGAGTCCCAGCTGGGACTTGCCACAGACTCACAGCCTTACTTTGGAGAGTATTAAGCAAATAACATTTGGGAGAGAGTCCCAAGGGAAGCAGCTTGTCCTTTGGGGCTTTGCACAACATGGCAGGAGCAGCGACTGTCTCACTGTGATAGGATGTGCTCCCCATCTTCCACCAGGGCAGGCTCCCTGGGTGCACAGGGCAACGGCAGATGGCACCCAAAGTCCCTTTACTTTTCTCACGGCAGCAGGGAAAAGGGACTGGGAACAAAAGATCTCTCTGCTTGTGCAGGGCATTGCTGCGCCGGGGATGCTAAAGTCACAGGGATGGTGAGAGGCATTAACTGCATTTTTCTCCTCCGCTGCCTTGGCTGGGGTTATTGGAGGCATCCTTCTACAGTGGCAGTTAGGAACACAGGTCTTTAAAAATAACTGCCAAGATGAAACCTCCTTGGGTTTCCAAGGGGTGGCTCTGGTCCCTACTGCATCTGTGCTGGAGAACCTGAGGTAACTACAGGCCCCCCTAAGCACCCCCTTTTCTTTTGGATTAGTGGATGCCAATACATTTTACAGTCTGTTTTGGGATGAAGAAAAGCAAAGGATTAAAAAACCAAGGAAGCCCAACAGATTGTCTTTATAAGGGTCACTTTTTTGCCTTAGAGATGACATTGTAGCAAGAGAGTTCAAACTGCCCGTCCCACCCAAGTCCAAGGCTCTCTCCCCACTACCAGTGACCGTGGGTGTGGTTCTGAGGTCCAGCATCCCTGAGACTCTTCTCACGCAGGATTTATGCCCTCCATCCTGTGGAAAACCATCCCTTCTTCCCAGCTTGTGCAAATTTGTGCATCTGCTACTTTATCCAACAGCTGATACATTCCTACACTTCCTGGTGGGTGCCAGCTATGTCTCCTCAGTTGGTTAGACTAAAGGTAGAAGTCCTGGGATGCGGAGTAGGGGGATAGCCTGTGGCCCCAGAACCTCAGCTCAGTGTGGGGATCAGCTCTCTCTGCCTTCCCCTCTGCCTTCTCTCTCTGGCTCTGATTCTGAGCTGTCACTTGTGGCAAACACAGCTGGTGGAGTATTTTAGCTGCGATGATGTCAGCCAATTTCTGATAGGCTCTCGGGTGCAGTGACAATCGTTGGTTATGTCAGTGCCTTGCACTTTTGAGTCTGTGAAGAAACCCAGCCACCCCTTTAGCCGCCCACAGCTCTCTTGCCTCTCTTTGCTGAAGCACATGGAAATAGCTGTGCAGGGGCTGCCAGCCAGCCAGCGATCAGGTTCTGACAGACGTCCTACCTGCCCATTTGCACCTCGGCTGTAAGCAAAGAGACTGAGTGATCAGGCACCGGGAAAGAAATGAAAGCAGGGCTGTGACCTCACAGGGCGGCCAAGTTCGTTAAGTGTTCGCTTTGCACAGTTCTAAGCAGGGGAAATGCACCCACACTGCTCCTTTCTCGGGCAGCAGAGGGCTGAGGAGCACCCAGAGTCCCCGACCTGCAGAGGCTGCTAGCACGTGGGAGGCCCCGGTGGTCCAATTTTCTCTCGAGCTGAGAGATGCCATGAAGGCTCTCACAGCACTGTGAAACAAGACCTCCTTGCACACCCAGCCTCTGTTCACAATCATGTTTTAAGGATTAAAAGTACCATGCAGAACGCATTTATTTTCATTCTTGCTTATTTCCCTGTCTCCCCTGGGGGTCTGCTGCAAGTCAGTTTTGCTCAAGGCCGCTCATTTTTTCTGGTCCTTGTCCTGATTTTGCAAGCAGCCCTGAGAGATGGGTAGCGGTTTAAGTCATAGCATCACTTTTCAAAAAAATCCTGAGTTTTGCTTTCTCTTTTTAAATCAAAACTTTGGAGGAATCTTTCTTGGGCCTCTCCAGAGACTGGAAGCCTAGGGTGATATCTCCCCATAAAAAATGAATTCAAGGCTAAAAGCTCTCAGAGACAGAGGGCCCGTGACAGTGCAAAATCCTATAGCAGTTCTGTTGGGAAACTGGTTTCCCAGCGCCTTTGGTCTTTTAGAAGTGCGCAGAATAATTTAAACTGTTTGTTTACTTTTGCTTGTTTTGTTTTCTTTGAATGTCCCAAATGTCATTTATTCCTTGGCTGTTTTCAGTGGCCACCCACAGGAGGCCCTGTTATGTCCATCTGCGATTAAGTCCTCAGAGAACATGTCCAGAGACCGTGGGTCCCACACCTGGGGAAGTCCCGGGCTGGGGGACAACCCTGTTTAAGGGCCAGCAATTTGGGGAGGGCAACAACTTGCTGTTTCACCCCAACAGGCTGTGCGATAAACGCATGCGGGATGATTGATGATAAATGCATCTTAAAGATGCTTTAAGATGCGGGAATGGGTGGACCGAAGGAGCCCTTGGAAACACAGAGTTAATCGCAGCTCCAGTTTTTAACATGACTCAGCTGGGCTGCGTCTGACTTCACTACAAGCCCAGTAGGTCCCTGGGGACAACCCCAATCAATCATGCCTTTTATATTTTCATGCTTTGCCATGTTAGGCCACGGCTGACCTGAAGCTTCTGCCACGCCTAGCTGATTCTAGAGATGGCAAATAACCCACTTAGGAGCACGCCTTTTCACATACAGACCAACCAGACCGCACACTCCAACACCTCCCGGGTTGGTCTTTCAGGCTCAAGGCCCACCCCCGTTCCCCAGTTTCCCCAGGGCCAGCTACGAAAGGGCTGGGGATGCCCCTGGGGCTGCAGAATCACCACGACAGCCACACCAACCATCCCCATGCCTGCTGACCCTGCCTCCCCCACTCCTTCCCACAGAGCCTGAAATAAAGGCTCCGGCCCATGGTTCCTCTCATTCTGTGTCAGGGGACCTGGTGTTTCTCTATGTCTTTCTCATAGCCTGGCATGGCCCCCTCCTCCCGGCATCTGAGGCTAGGTAACACACTATCTTTTCAACAAGAGTTACCAGCTGACCTTGCCATACCTAGATAATAACACCACCTGTGTTTTACAGCAGGCTGTCAGAAAGAGACGTGGTGACGTCCTCACCCCTCTGTCTTTTCCTGATATGATGACCCCTAGATAGGTCTGAAGCTCTTCTCCTTTCTCAACCAGGGCTCCTCAGTACATAACTACCCCAGACTGAATGCACAGAGGTTAAGTGATTACAAACAGATGCCGTGGGGGCAGGCTTGAGGGTCTCAGAGAACACAGCTGGGAGGAAGCTGGAAAGGACTAAGGTCGTGGCCCTGGGGTTGGTGTATGGGCAACCACCTGGGGCGAGGGAACCTTTAACCCTGACTCACAGAAGCCATCTGACCTGCAGGAGATGGATGCAGGTGTCGTGGTGGGGGCCCCCATACCTGTGTGGCCCCGGCCAATGTTACCTGTGCTCGGTGCTCCCCGACAGCGAACTGTATGACCGCAAGGCCTGGGCTGTGGCTATCTTCGATCCTCTCCACCGTGCTGGAGTCAATCTTGAGGTCATTGCTGATCTCCGCACTCTGGATGAAGTCTTCCGTTTTCAAGTCCTCTACCTTCTTCAGCTCCCCGTTGGCCAACTGGATGATGGACCCTTTCATGAAGTAGGGCGGCAGGGTGGGCGGCGCCGCCGCGGGGGAGGCCACGGACTGTACCACAGGCAGATGGATCTGGGCCTGCACCATGGCTGGGTACGCGGCTTGGGTAACCAGGGCCTCGGGGCTGAAGTTCTCGGTCTTGGGCAGGGCGGTGGTGACAAAGGTGTGAGGCACTGCAGCGAAGTGGGGCGACGACGTGACGATGGCAGAGGCTGCCCCCGAGGCCTCCATGTCGGTGCCGCCCACCGGGATGAGCAGGGGCTGGGTGCCCGGGATGACCAGGTGCTGGGGCAGGCTGCCAGCGTAGGTGATCGCTTGCTGCTGGCCGCTCAGGTAGCCGATGACAGGAGGCTGCGTGCCTGCGTAGAAGGCTGTGGCGGGCAGTCCGACCGGCAGAGGCTCTGAAGCACTGTGTGTGGTCTGGATGACCGTGTGGGGTGACAGAGCGTAGGACCTGTGGCTCGGCTTCCCTAAGTGCAGGCCGCCCTTGTCGTTGAGGGTAGATGGCGAGGCCTCGCGGTGCGTGGCCTGCTGCACCTCCAAGTCGGCCGTGGGTGTGGTGCTGTTGGGCAGGACCATGACAGAGGCCCGCACGCCGGAGGCCTCTCGGCCGCTGTAGTCCGCGGGGCTCGAGTGGACCACCACGTGCCTGGGCTCGTAGGGGTGAGGCACCGACTTGCTGCCGGCCTTGCCGAGGCCCAGGTCGGCCGAGGACGGAGGCCCGTATCGCCGGCTCTTCTCCATCTCCCCATTCAGCACCTCCTTGGCCTGCTGCAGCCGGCCGCTCTCGGCTTTCTTGGTGGGCTCCCGAGGGACGAAGTGGCCCCCGGAGTCGGTGTACTGCACAACCACCTGGGACGAGGGCCCCAGGGTGAGCGTGTGCGGGATCATCGTCTGATGGGGGTGGAGGTGCACCGGGATGGCCGGGGGAGAGGCCGGGCGGCCAGAGCTCTGCGGAGAGCCAGAAATGTGGATGTACTGGTTCTGCTGGGCAGGTGGGGGGGACCCTGGGGTGATGAGCCCTGGGGCCCGGCCGAGGTGTGGTGGCGGCTGCGGCGGCTCGCCCTTGTGTCCTGGTGTCTGGCTCAGGCCGCCCATGTTGGCCAGCAGCGTGGAATAGGCCTCCAGCTGGGAGCGCTGGGATGGAGTGGTAGCCCCTGCAGCGGAGGCCACGGCACTGGTGACTGGGTTGGCCGAGGGCGAGATCAGCTGTGAGGGGATGAAGCCGGCATAGGGTCCACTATACTGGGAGGACCCGATGAACTGGAAGGTGTGAGGCAGGTGAGCATACTGCACGGGGGACACCGGGGTCCCTGACTGTGGGGGAGGGTACGCCGTGGGCAGTGTGGTGGCCGCTGGGACCGACCTGGGAGCACTGGGTGGCGAGTAGTCTAGCCCCGTGGACAGTGATTTGTGTAAACCTATTCCCTGCTGTAAACCAAGCTCCACCGAAGTCCCCGCGGGCCCGTGCCGGCCGCCCCCGTGGCCTCGGCCGCCCGGGTTGCTGGGGAGCCATGCCACACTCTCCGCCCGGTGGTTGTCGCTGGGCAGGACGGCGGCCTTCTCCTCGGAGGGCCGGCTGGTGGCGGGGATCTCGCGCTTCTTGGGTGGCAGGCATTCGTTGCTCCGCTCTTGGTTGGATTTCATTTTTCGCCGTCCCCCCTCCACGGTGGCTGTCTCACTGTCTGGCTGGCTCTGGTTTTAGTCTGATAAACGGAAAGTCACATTTGATTCCAGCAGGGGATCCAGGTGCTTCATGAGGAATCATCTCCCTGTGGGTGCACTCGGCCAACCGCAGCTCTGGATTCTGGAGGACAGGAGGCCAGGGATGGGAGAGAAGGAAGGACAGAGGGGAGGAGGGGAAGGAAATCAACAGATCAGCACCAGGAAGAGAGAGAGAGTAAAAAAAAAAAAACATCTTGGCAAGATTAAGACTAAGGCCCTGGAATTGACATGAATTCCAACAGCCGGATTACAGCCACAGCACGGAAGCAGGCGGCGCTGGCCCCACTGGCTGGGGGAGCGCAAAGATAAGCAGCAGTCAGAGCTCTTTTTCTTTTTCAGTCAGAACTCTAAAGCACGCACTTTTTTATGGAGTTAACCACTCTCCTATGACTTTCTCAACACTCTGTCTGCTCCCTTCTTCCCTTCCCTTAGAGAGCAGAGGCTGCATTTCTTGAATCCCCTTTTCAGAAATACTGGTTCCAGTCCTCACCTCTTCTTTACCTAGTGATAGGTCCAAAGAGCCCCCCTGGGAGAAAGACACCAGCTGGACCTGCTGCAGAGCCAAGCACTGGGAGGGGCAGGTGTGCTGAGAATGCCCTGTAGGATATTTCTGCATCCTCACCTGCCAAGGCTGAAACCCTGAAAAGTGGACCTAGCTCTGGGTCCACACTGGCTCTGCAATGAGCATTGTCACCATGCCTTAACACACACACACACACACACACACACACACACACACACCAGCTTAGCAGAGGTGGCCAAAATCTTGGTTTCTAGACATTTTGAAAGAATTCCTAGTACAGAAACTCATGTGGTATTAAAAAAGCTAAAAGACATCTGTGAGTTAAAAAAATTAACTTGAGTATAGTTTTAAATAAACCAAGCACCATAACAGGCTGGGTACATTGAAAGTTTCTTAAGATGAGTTCTGTGCCTGCTTCATCCCGGCTTTTCCTCTCTCCCCTTTCAAGGTGTCTCTGAATTCTCCCTTCTTGCCCTCCCCTCCATCTTCCCTTGGAAAGGGCTAGCTCACTGCTGACACTAGAGGTGGAATCCCCTTCAGACAAAGTAGAATTCTGCATTCAAACATGGCCAAGCAGCCAGTGAGCCCGGAGCCTGTCCTTACTGACATACATCTCAGTCGCTTAGTAACAAGTGAACCACTGTGTGGGCAAACCAGGGTCTACCTGGTGCGAAGCAGGACGTCAGTGGCTAACAAGCAGTGGAGGGGAATGGCCCTCATTCGTGGTGGCAGCCTCGGAGGTGAGCAGTGTCAAGTGCTGTGATCCTGAGAGCTGTGGGGTTGGACTTTGGGAATTGTGGGTCAAGTTTTGGCATTTCCTTTCTGAAGACCTTTTCTACATTAAGCTCTGATTTTCAAACAAATACAAAACAGCAGTCTTCCCATTTCACTCTTCTCCAAGCTGAAGCAAGGGTGAGAGCGCTCCTGGAAGCCTTGCCCTTTTCTCTCCTCTGTGCTCCACTCTACCACCCAATTCCAAATCTCTCCCATCTGGTTGATGACCCTCCACCCTGATTTGCTGCTCTTTGGGGCAATGACTTAATGGCTCTTGTCAATGTAGCTTCCGCATCAACAGGGTGAAATGACAAATGACACAGCAGAGTTCACCTCCTTCATGAATCTGACCAAGTACAGGAAGGCAGAGGTTTAGAAATTTGATGTCTCAACACTGAATAGGACTTTTCACCTGACAAGAGGGACTCTAAGACTGGATAGAAACAAAAAGTAAAAAGACCTGAAATGAACAGTTCTGTCCAAAGAGTCATTTACCCTCTCATCATAGGACTTTTTTTAAGTCCTACAAAACTTTGTTCTGTACAGCCCTCTCTAATAAAGAGCACAATACATAATTTACACCCAAGGTTGATGAAGTAATTATAAGGATAGAATGAGCATCAACCACGCCCCCCCCAAAAAAAACCAGAAATAAAACCCTGGACCCCTTTTGGCTGTCTGAAAAACAACAACTATGGCCATTTATCTTTGGGGTCCAAGAGTCACTCTTAAGCCAGGGGACTTGATAAGCCCCCACATCCTCATACCAACTATCAAGGAAGTTCATTTCTGAAATCTTCTTCAATATTCCACACGCCCCCTGCTGGTTCTGTAGGAGCACTGATCCCCCACCTGCATGATTTCATTAGAAATGCACACACAAGAATGATATCTCAGAATGTGGAATGAGAACATTTGCATATAGTAGGCCCAGCCAGTAAGAGAATAGGTTAATTAGCTCAAGGCAGCTCTAGGGAAGAAAAAGCTGTGGCATGAAAGTCCTTTCAAAGCCAAGCAAAATGTCAAACATATTCAGCAACAGGCCTATTAGCAATGCAAATGCAAAACTGCTCCTACAGGAGAATGCACAGTACACAAACTGGAAAACCCTTCTGAAGGTACTTTAGGAACCCAGCTTTCACAAATATGGAAAAGAACGCTGAGTTGGTTGTTGAAAGAGCAGGAGTTTGTCTGTGCTATTTAATTGAGAGGCAAGATGCTGGCTTTGTAGACCTAACCGCTAACTGGGCCGGGTTTCTGCTAATGGACAAAGGGAACCAATCAGCTTTGACACACAAATTCAGATTTATTCTTCTGAAAACTTACTCACTGATCTACAGCACCTTTTCTAGAGATTGCCAGTGACAAGTCAAGGATATCATGATCAACACAGAAGATGTGACCTGGTTCAAACTGATACCAACCCATTCACCTCCTAGGTTTATTTCTTTTTTAATTTAGTTTTTAAAAATTTATTTTTTAAAGAGAGAAGATCTCCGTATGCTGCAAGGCTGGCCCTAAACTCCTGAGCTTGAGCGATCCTGTCTGCCTCAGCCTCCTGATAGCCTCCACAGTTAGCCTTCTCCTAAACTTAAATTTAAATTTATGTACCAGCACAGCATGAAGGAAACAGGGCTCTGTAATTCAAGGTGGTGTGAGCTTTCTGTACATAGCCCACATCTTCCCCTGAGGGACACACGAGGTTAGGAATTGGATCTTGCAGTACTTTCAGCGAACCATCAGAGGGCGCCACAGTATGCCACCAGGTTCCTGGTATATGGGGTGGTTATTTGTGGGAGGAGAGAGGTAACTTCGTGCAGGTGGAAAACTTAAACAGGCAAACAACAAAGACAGCGACAGACAAGAAAAAAGAAAGAAGCAAAAAGGAGAATGGGATCTTGCTTCTAGGGACTCTTTCCAGTTGTACATAAATGGCCTCTCAGGGGCCCTGGACTTCACTTCTGGATGTACCTGAGGAAACACAAAAATTTCAAAGCACAGGGCCCTACACAATAACATCAATGCTGAGTCACCAGAAAGCCGCACCAGTGCATCACACTGTATCAACATTATTACTGCAATGGGGAAGGCAGAAGGGGAGTTAATAGAGGAATCAAGAGAAAAATTTTGAGATTCACTACTTATGGGATGGCCTGGTAAATCTCTGTTCTGCATATATTCACCTTAAGGATTTATAAGTCCATAAATGTAGCACCTACATTTTTGTATTTCTCTATAGGTATTTTAAAATGTCAAAGTGTGGTCTTCCGTCCAGCAATGCCACCAACCCTGGGAACTTGTTATAAATACAGAATCCCAGGTCCTACCCAGACCTACAGATTTAGAATCTGCATTTTAACAAAATCTCCTGAAGCTTCATATGCTTGGTAAAAATGTAAGAAACCTAGGTTTCAGATTAAATTTTTGACTTCTATATTCTTTTCTTTTTGGTACCAAGAATCAAACTCAGGACCTTGCGCTTGCCAGACAGGCGCTTGTGCCGCTGAGCTATATCCCCGGAAACTTCTACATTCTTAAGTCAACTTCTTTAGCTGCTTTTTAATGATATAGCACTATAAACCAAATGGGATGCTGTACATACACACAGCTGGTGGAGCCTTGTAGGTAGATGCCTAATATTTGGGGGAACCCCAGCTGTTTGCTTTGGGGGTCATTAACCTCAAAACAACTCGATGTAACTCTATGCCTCTTTTCTTGTGGTTCTTTCAAAAAGCATAGAGAAACATTTAAAGACACGTTTTATATTGGACCCAAGTGCTTCCAGGAAGAAAAATAAAATCTAATAAGGAAAGTCTCAGACTTATACCTTTGCTATAATGTAGTTTTTTAAAAAAACTTTTTTTTGCCACTATCATGGACCCAGACTGAGAAGTGGTAGGAGAACGAGATATTGCTGAGCTAGAGATGTGAGAATACACGCCCGCTGACTCCAAGTCCTGTAAATAACAACCAACTGCTCGGAATAGAAGATGCTCCTGCAGTTTGATACATCAAGTCCTAAAAATGCCTTCTAAGGCTGCAGAACGAACTGAATCGTTCTGCCCACACAGGCAATCCCAAGTTTCTCAGTCTGGGCAGACCCACGCCTGCCCAGTGAGTGTCTTGGCACAAATAAGAAACGCAGATGAGTGAGTTGTGCCAGGGCAGGTGGCTCCCTAACCTGCAAATCCAAAATGATCCCAAATCTGAAAGTCTGAGTGTTGACGGGATACCACAGGGGGAAAGCTGCACACGCAAGCTCCCATGACAGGTTGCAGTCTGAATGTGGTGTGGTAATAATATTGTAAAAAACGACCTCAAGCTATACATATACAGTGCGTATGACACTCAAATGATTTTTTTTTTTTTTTTTTTTTTTGTCTTTTTGAAGCAGAGTCTCACTATGCAGTTCAGGCTGGCCTTAAACTCACTTTGTAGCCCAGGGCTGGCCTCGACCTTGCAATGATCCTCCTGCTTCAGCCTCCCGAGTGCTGGGATTACGGTGTGTGCCACCATGCCCGGCTCCACAAATGAATTTTTAAGATGAATTTATACTTGAACTAGAACTTGAGTTCTATCCCCAAGCTATGTGCAAACATTCCAAAGCCCCCAAATACCCAGAATCCCAAAAGACACTCAAACTTGTCCTGGAAAAACTTTAGGAAGCTTCAGGAGACAAAACACCAGCTATAATGCAGATGTCACAAAGGCAAAGATTCTTAAAGTCAACTTCGTTTTCCAGTTTCACATTGCTTAAGTGGAAGATGTGTACCATACACTGCAGA